GCTCATTGAGTGCCAATGTCTCTGAGAAAGTAAACTTTGAGTGACCCTCCAGGTTAGTTTAGTCTGGGATCCCTCCATCGCTGGGTGAGTGGGTTTAAAAAGCTGGATGCTGTGGGATCACAACTTACTTCAAAGGAGAGATCACTTGCATCAGGAATTCTGTTCCCTCACCAGGGGCCAACATTCTTGACCCTGGAAGACTGGTTAAACATTATTGAACACTTCCCTTTTGTTAGGGAAGAATAAAGTCACCACCTGATGTTGCCACCAGTGAATCTGTGTCATAGGAAGCCAGAGAATAAGTCCATTGTCACACGGCCACATTCTCAAATTGTGGGATTTAACGGTGGTGGCATTACTTAAAGAAGATCAGACCCTGAGTGACAGCCACAGTCTTTTTAAGACACACTGATTGACCAAGACGTCAAAGAAAAATGGGTGTCCTGGGAGTTCAATCTGACATCACTAAATGGTTAAGCCATATTGACTTGATTTGTACATGCACAATAATAGCTATCTGCATTCCAATATCCATATGAACATAGGTCTATACGACACTTACCTTGTTATAATTATGGTATGGTCCAGTCTAAAAGAGATGAAAATCTCATACAGTCAACAACATAAACAAATGTTTATACTAAACATCATATCCATACATGGAAGTGGGACAGTGAAGTCAAATATTGTTGGAAGAAAGCAAGTTTTTACCATTTTGAATGATCAAGTCAATAAGAGACAACCACTCACCTCACCCACTGTTTACTGCAACATTATGCTTGAGAACGGTTGTCCTGGGGAATATGATGACTCCTACAAACTTCAACAATATTGTAAAAATAGGCCTTTACGGACCAATTACTTAGTGATAAAGTGGTTTTGATTAACCATGTACACATCAATACATTAACCGACCAATCCTCTGGAAGAAAAATCTTTAACAGGACAAATTTCAATTCTAGTACAGTAAAATGTTGTTTTAGCATGGCACAGTTAACATATACTGGGCCTAAAAAAAAATCAGGTGACAAGTTGGTTCAAGTTGAGAGAAATATCATAATATCCAATAGGCATTTCCGACTGAATCATCATCATTAGTTGCAGCTGTACAAAAGAGATGCCCAAGTGCATTAGTGAATCATTCAATGATTGAAACTGTAATATCACACATCAGAGGAGTTGCACAATCCACATAGTTCCCTGGGGAAGAATGCCTGACAAGGATTATGCACCTGTCTCTTGATTAAGTGCACCCAGTTCATGTTCAACGAAATCCTGACCTTCCAGTGACCTCTCCTCTGCCTTAAGCTCTGTTCAGGATTCCATACTTTTACAACCATGATGTCAACTCTGGGCCAAAACAGGTAGCTCTGTAACTGGATGTGCCCACTTCTGACATGCAGCAAGCTCCTTAAATTTAACATCTTCATCTTACCTTTTTCAACAAGTCAGAGTTGTGGGACCTTAAAGTGGGAAAGCATGAGGGAAGCTTGTCACTTTGACAGTTATTAGTCTCGCAAGGGTATCAGGAACAGTTTTACTATCTATGTATAAACCTGGATAATTCAAATGAGGGCTAAAACGCTGTGAGCAGTATGTTACTGACAGGGTGTGTCAGGTCAGGTAGTGAAGGGGACTGACTGACTGACTGATGCATACTCTGCTCTGTCTCACCAGGCACACACACAGCAGCCTGGGGAAGTCTGACTGAATGAACACATTAAACATTAAAATTCCTTGCGTGAGAACCAAGAAAGCAGCGGGTATGTTGCAGAGGGATGAATTTGCCTCCAGGATGGAGAGATTATTTTCTCTCCACTTAAACAGAGGTCATATGCACACAATCTGACAAGAAGATTAAGAATTTCTGGATTTTCTTATTTGCTCACCACCCCTTTTCTCCAATGAACATTATCCTGTTCTGAAACACACTGCATGAGCTCCTGTTCCAACTTAATGACTGACCCTCCACCCAAAGAATAAATAAGAATGCCAGAAATAACACATCTATTCTGGTCATTTCATTAGAGGCATGCATTGAGAGCACTAATCCTGATTCCCAAAACCTGCCTCTTTGATAAAAGGAAAAGTCCTCAGTGAACAGGAGGGCTCTACTGTTGGGCCCACTGTGCCGGCTCAAACTTTGCTTTTTGCTGTCAAAAGAACGCCATTTCAGATGGAGAGCTAAGCCTATAAGCTTGTCGCTGAACTGATAAAAAATTAGCCTTTGTGGCAGATAATACCAGGAAAATATTGCTCTAAACCAAGACAATGAGGCAAATTACTTTTTTTAGGAAAAGCAAACTAGAATGTACCATTTTATATAGTATCTACCATGATACACTACATGACCCAAAGTATGTGGACACCTGCTCGTCGAGCATCTCATTCCAAAATCATGGGCATTAATCTGGAGTTGGTCCCCCCTTCGCTGCTATAACAGCCTCCACTCTTCTGGGAAGGCTTTCCACAAGATATTGCACCATTGCTGCGGGGAGTTGCTTCCATTCAGCCACAAAAGCATTCGTGAGGTCGGGCACTGAGGTTGGGCGATTAGGCCTGGCTCGCAGTCAGCGTTCCAATTCATCCGAAAGGTGGTCAGGGCTCTGTGCAGGCCAGTCAAGTTCTTCCACACTGATCGACAAATTATTTCTATATGGACCTCGCTTTGTGCACGGGGGCATTGTCATGCTGAAACAGGAAAGGGCCTTCCCCAAACTGTTGCAAGCACAGAATCATCTAGAATGTCATTGTATGCTGTAGCGTTAAGATTTCCCTTCACTGGAACTAAGGGGCCTAGCCCGAACCATGAAAAACAGTCCCAGACAATTATTCCTCCTTCACCAAACTTTACAGTTGCCACTATGCATTTGGGCAGGTAGCGTTCTCCTGGCATCCGCCAAACCCAGACTCGCTCCAGCCAACGCTTGGCATTGCACATGGTGATCTTAGGCTTGTGTGTGGCTGCTCGGCCATGGAAACCCATTTCATGAAGCTCCCAATGAACAGTTATTGTGCTGATGTTGCTTCCAGAGGCAGTTTGGAACTCGGTAGTGAGTGTTGCAACTGAGGACATTCTTTTTACACGCTACGCGCTTCAGCACTCGCCGGTCCAGTTCTGTGAGCTTGTGTGGCCTACCACTTCGCGGCTGAGCCATTGTTGCTACTAGACGTTTCCACTTCCCAACAACCGCACTTACAGTTGCCCGGGGAAGCTCTAGCAGGGCATACATTTGATGAAATGACTTGTTGGAAAGGTGGCACCCTATGATGGTGCCACGTTGAAAGTCACTGAGCTCTTCAGCAAGGACATTCTACTGCCAATGATTGTCTATGGAGATTGCATGGCAGTGTGCTCGATTTTATACACCTGTCAGCAACGGGTGTGTCTGAAATAGCCGAATCCACTAACGGGTGTCCACATACTTTTGTATATGTAGTGTATGTAGATTACTTCTTAAAGTGAAAAATATTATATAACTGCTGTTCCTATGAAGTCCACATTCATTTGTATGTATAGTGTATATTGTTACCAAAAAGCAAATACTGACGCATGATCATACACCGATACCCATCACTAGTCACATTATATTTTTATATTAGATAGTTGAACTGGTTGTCCATCAGGAATTCAGTCACTCAGTACACTGAAGTTCATCCAAACGTATTGCTTTTAAACATTTCTCAAATGTCTAAAGCAAACTCAGGCTGCATAGAGACATGTAGTCTTCACAGCTACTCCAGAAACCCAATAGCTGATCAGATCTGCTGTCTTTTCCCATGCCTGGCTTCACAGTCAAACACAAAAACTCCTATTCAGATCCTTCACACAAGGACAGCCCATAGCCTACTGGCCAAATAGACAATAAATAGCTTAAATAATATAACAGCTTTAATGTTGTGTAGAACGTTTGCTGAGGTCTCAATGACAGAAACCCTGAAATAATGACTCAGAAGGTGACAATTAAGGAATAAACCAAATTTAAATAAAAACTAATATCCACTTAAAATACTAAATGTTCCAAGTCAGATTTACAAAATTAATAGCCTACCCATCTCTCCACTACAGCTCCTCAAAACACTCACTGTCAAATCTGTATTAACTATATCACTTAAATTAGAAAAAAATCACATAAAAAGGCCACAATAATAATACAAAATTCAAATGACGTATGTGTGTGTGTGTGTGTGTGTCTGTGTGCGCGTTTCAAGAGAGTGCTGGCTCAGACGGATGCATGTTCATATATATTTTATATAATGTATATCAAACTAAAACTAATACAGCATCAAACTTAAAAAGGATCATGAAAAATAAAGAAGGAACAGTTGGTTGTGGAGCATTTTGAAATTAAAACCAGACTGGTCGGAGCAGAGCAGGAGGGGTGCAGATCAGGAACATTGAGCCTCTCTGGCTGCGGGTGGGAGGGGGGAAGGGGGGGTCCATCACTGGTTGGGTGCATTGAGGGGCAGGGGGGAGCAATGGGGTGGGGGTACGGGCAAATTGCAGGTGGAGATTAGATAGTCCAGCGTTCTCCAAGAAATGTCTCTTTGCTTATTTTATTCAAACAAAACATGACTAAAAAAGCAGCCGTACTGTAGTGGGAAGTCCTTGTCCGTGATGCTGTTCTTCTACTCAAAAGTTTCTTATTAATATCCTTTATCATACTGTAAGTGTGGACAGAGAAAAAACATGACACTGCAATTAAGTGAGGGGCGAGAGTGTTTGGCTGTGTGCTTGTGGTAGCTTCTCTGTGCATACGTGTACACTAAGCACTCATGTACGATGCACAGGCCAGGAGCAGACACGCTTACGTGTGGGTGTGTGTGTGGGGGTTTTGTGAGTGTGAATAGTGTCCTGTATATGTTGTGTATTGTGTGTGTTTGAGAGTTCACCTCCATGTGAGAGGGTGGTCTGTCTCTGTAGACACACTGGAACCATGCTAGAACTCTTCACTACGCTTCCAGCCAATCCCACCACCACATGGCCAGGCCAGTCAGTCCTACTCTTTAGCTTCCAGGAACAGGGTCTCCTGCGGGAAAAGCTTGGCCTCCAGTAAAGACGAGGCTGGGTCTAGCTGGGTGATCTGCAGAGAAAGAGAACAAGAGAAGCATGAGAAGAGGACACATTCATACAGGATACATGACACAGTCATTACACAAGTCCTTGTTCTAGCTCAAGTTGGAAGTGACCTTTCACTGCATGTAAAAAGTACAAATGATCAACTAGTCCAATTCTTAATCTTTATATCATTGAACACTTCTTTCTGTGTACTTTGGGACACGTCCACAAAAGTGAACGTTCCAATGTACGCCATTCAAACAGATGTACTGGAAAGGTGTTAGCATGGCCTCTGCTTGGGGTATGTCTCTTAGCTACATCATCAAGTGGAAACGCTGGGAAGGTGAGGCAGTAATCTGATCATCTCTGTTCCGGTGGCCAGCGTTGCGTTTCCCAGAGAGATTGATCATTTCTGTTTTTCTAAGGCTTCCAACTGCTGTGGTTTCTACAAGGACCTGCCTTGAACGATGTGTGTTACGACCATAAACTAACCACCTTTGCCTACTGAATGAATGACCAAACACAAAGACATAAGGTAGATGGTAATATTAAAGAGACATACACTACCGTTCAATGGTTTGGGGCCACTTAGAAATGTCCTTGTTTTCGAAAGAAAAGCAATTTTCTTGTCCATTAAAATAACATCAAATTGATCAGAAATACAGTGTAGACATTGTTAATGTTGTAAATGGCTATTGTAGCTGGAAACGGCTACAATGGGATATCTACATAGCCGTACAGAGGACCATTATCAGCAACCATCAGTCCTGTGTTCCAATGGCACGTTGTGTTTCCTAATCCAAGTTTATCATTTTAAAAGGCTCAAACTGTCTCTAACCAGAATAGAAAGAGGAGTGGGAGACCCCGGACCACAACTGCGCAAGAGGACAAATACATTAGAGTGTCTAGTTTGAGAAACAGACGCCTCACAGGTCCTCAACTGGCAGCTTCATTAAATAGTACCTGAAAACACCAGTCTCAACGTCAACAGTGAAGAGGCGACTCCGGGATGCTGACCTTCTAGGAAGAGTTGCAAAGAAAAAGCCATATCTCAGACTGGCCAATAAAAAGAAAAGATTAAGATGGGCAGTCCGAGATATGGCTTTTTCTTTGCAACTCTGCCTAGAAGGTCAGCATCCCGGAGTCGCCTCTTCACTGTTGACGTTGAGACTGGTGTTTTGCGGGTACTATTTAATGAAGCTGCCAGTTGAGGACCTGTGAGGCATCTGTTTCTCAAACTAGACACTAATGTATTTGTCCTCTTGCGCAGTTGTGCACCGGGGCCTCCCACTCCTCTTTCTATTCTGGTTAGAGACAGTTTGCGCTGTTCTGTGAAGGGAGTAGTACACAGCGTTGTACGAGATCTTCAGTTTCTTGGCAATTTCTCACATGGAATAGCCTTCATTTCTCAGAACAAGCATAGACTGACGAGTTTCAGAAGAAAGTTATTTGTTTCTGGCCATTTTGAGCCTGTAATCGAACCCACAATTGCTGATGCTCCAGATACACAACTAGTCTCAAGAAGGCCAGTTTTATTGCTTCTTTAATCAGCACAACAGTTTTCAGCTGTGCTAACATAATTGCAAAAGGGTTTTCTAATGATCAATTAGCCTTTTAAAATACACTGTATTTCTGATCAATTTGATGTTATTTTAATGGACCCCAAAATTGCTTTTCTTTTCGAAAACAAGGACATTTCTAAGTGACCACAAACCTTTGAACGGTAGTGTATACAGTATCAATAAGCATCAAAATATTCATCACTCAAATCCAGGTTGAGGGCACCGGCAGAGCAAGATCGTAATAATGCATTGCCACCCATAATGCAGCTAATTTCGTTAGCCATGTTGACACACGGGTAACCTATGTTGTTTAACATGAGACAACCCAGCCTACTAGCTTACGAGGGTTAATCACCGGGAGTGTCCTGTTACATAGGCCCGTCATCCCCGTCCTCACACCTGGGCCCTCTGTCTACTGTGACGTGGGGGCCAGGCCAGGGCTTATCTGCTGCCTGTGGTGACAGCCTCTGATTAGACCTCCTATTATGATCACTGGGGTGGTAATTAACTAGCAGGCCTCAGACAACCAGTGCAAGAAGGTCTGAGTTCACCTCACACTGATGAGACCATCATCACAAAGACGGATTAGGTGGAGAAACACTGCTGGATGATGTGATGGCTGGAAGACCTTTGAGGAGGCTGAAACATGATCGCTGAAACCAAGTCAAACACCCACCTCTCCTCTCACCATGGAGTCCGAGTTTGCTCTGTAACTATCCTGACAAATCTCTCTCAATCACTGCTCTGGCTGGGCAAGTAATCCCTGCAGTTGTCAGTTGTCCTGCCCGGTTCGCCATTGAATTTGTATGTAGTGTGCCTGTTATGCTGCAGGCTGATCCTACTCCCTGATTTGACGTCTCATGGTTCTTCTGTTCTACCACACAGATGTGGTAATAAACAAATCTTCCCTCAATATAAATAATGAGTCGTCTTTCCTAATGAGTCATATTTCCAATGATCATTGAGTCATCAAAACCTAACCTTCAATAGAGCTACATAATTTCAAAGGTATGATGCCGGGAGTTCAAAGAGGAGCAAGAATTAACTCAGCAAACACAGCTATTCCCAGAGGAAGGGGGAAATGTCACACCAATGGAGGCTCTTTGACTTCACGTCCTCATACTCATTTCTCCTGTCATTAGGGCTCCTCACTCCCCAGCATGACCTGAGCTCGTAAGGCACCACAGGGAGGGGGTGTCACGTCAACCTACACAATGCACCGCAGCCAGGGGAAAGCAAGATGGTGTGCTGCTAACAGATTACATCCCAACGGGTGACTGGTGTAGTCCCGTGTAGCTCAGTTGGTAGAGCATGGCGCTTGCAACGCCAGGGTTGTGGGTTCAATTCCCACGGGGGACCAGTATGAAAAAATTTATGCACTCACTAACTGTAAGTCGCTCTGGATAAGAGCGTCTGCTAAATTACAACAAAAAAATATATAAAAAAATATTTAAAAAAGAAAAAAATTTTCCAAACACCTTTTTCCCCCCACCTTTTGCTCAGTATTTCACAAATGCCAGCTATGCTAATGAACCTGACAGGCTGTTATGACACCACAGCATCAGGTATGAGTAAATTGGGGTTTAGGGAGGAGCAGGTGTGGCTGTGTGTGTGTGTGTGGGTTGACGGGGGGAGGGGAGAGCATCTGACTCCAAAAATAAAGTAGAGAAACAAGATGCCACACTGACACAGGAGACAAGCGCCATCAGTGATTGTTTACATTGTTATCCAATTAAGAGACCATAAGCATTGAGGCATCTGTCAACAAACAAAGCTGTTGTTTTCCTCTCCACTCTGCGTCGCGATACCCTCTCTATGTTTTCACTGTCTGGCTCTCCCTATAGCCGATGAATTCTCTTCTCCCCTTCCTGACACATACAGCAGCCGGGCAGAGCCAGACACACAAACATACAAAGGCCTACATTATTCATGGTATGGCCAACAAAACAATCTTATCAACGAACAGCTCTATGATATAGGCAATACACAAGCATTTAAACTGTACTGTATGACTTCCAATTACATTTTAGTGTAGTAGATAAACCATCTAGGTGTTTGGCACACAACATGACAGTCCAGCATCAGTCTATGGAAGGTCATTTGAAGTGTTTTGAAGATTATGGTTGAATCCGTAGCAGCAGTGTTTTCTCTAGTGCTTGATTATGTTGATGGTGGATAATCATTTTTTTATTTTACCTTTATTTAACCAGGTAAGCCAGTTGAGAACAAGTTCTCATTTACAACTGCGACCTGGATCATCTAACCCCATCACACACACTCATCCTGACAGGCCTCACACAGTGGCCAAACAAACGGAGTAGAAAGACATGCCACCTTGCTTGAGAGACCCACTACTACTGCCAATATGTCATCTAAAACTATCTATGTTTTCCATCAAATTAAAACGAAAAGGCAAATGTTGGTCTATGGCTAAAATAAGCTCATTCATGAACACTACTTATGCAAGTTACACAAGGACTACTGAGGTTTCAGTGTGTGAACATCAATGTGGGTTGTATAAAGAATATAATGCACAAGAAATGTCATGCCTACCATCGGATGTTCCACACTCCCACTAAGTATAATTTATAGATTTTATTTGAGATAATGTTGAATCTCTACTTCCAATCTCTAGTGAAGGACTAGTAGGAACATTTCTTTATATGTGTTTGAGAATCTACTATCATATCTCACAAAATAATGTATTAACTCCATGTCATTGTCTTCAGTGTTATGATTATCGTGCTTAACATAATTAACACTTAAGTTGAAGTAAAAATAAATATTGCAAATCACTTCATTAGTATGAATAAAACACATTTGATAACTTGAGGAGAGTGAAAAAATAAACACCCGTCTCAAGATGTCAGTTTCCAACATAATCAAACCTGCAGCTGAAATAACAATTTTTTTTATGAAGCCATTTAGGTTCTATGTTAATTCAAACCAAATAGCTTGTCTGTTTTAAACTTGTGTTGTCAAGTGTTTATTTGGCCAATTACAAAAGCAGTGGGAGATCATTATGTGCTTCCAGGAACGATGACAACACGTAGAGCCGGGGCGTGAACAACCCACTTCAAAGTGGGCCGCCGCGGCCTGGAGAGAGGGAGAAAAGGGGGGCTGCCGTTCCCCAGGGGAACAGGCCCTGAGCTTTTAACTTCTCTGGAACAGGGAAGCAATCTGCTCTCACAAGTCCCCTATATGCTGTCTAGAGCAGAGCCAACACAAACACCAGTCCCACACAAACAGTGCATACAGTGTGAGACTGAGTACAGTATGCATGTACAGGACTGTGGGGGGCAGGTAGCCTAGCGGTTAAGAGCGTTGAGTCAGTAACCGAAAGGTCGCTGTTTCGAATCCCCAAGCCAACTAGGTGAAACATCTGTTGATGTGCCCTTGAGCAAGGCACCAAACCCTAATTGCTCCAGTAAGTCGCTCTGGATAAGAGCGTCTGCTAAATGACTAAAAATGTAAAATGATAAGAGCTACTGGAATCAGAGCTATAACCTACATGAACCTTTGGAACTATATCCCACATGTAGTCATATAGGTGGGAGAGGATATTGTGGAAAGACTTTTGGGGAAAGAGTATGAATTTTGGGACTATATCAATAAACTGCAATTGTTCTTCCTGTGCATTTCACTGTTTCAGACTTGAAATAAACCAAGTGGTGCAGATGTGATGTCTAGTTCAGTTGGAAACAAGGATCATTTCATTGTTTATTTTTCCTAAATCTAGAGTTCTAACTAAATCATTCTACACATTGGTACTGTTCAAACATTTCATTTTCAGAAACCTGGAACATCAATTAGGGTAAGGTAAAACCTGGCACAAAGTACAGTATCACAACGTGAAGAAAAATATCCTGTGCAGACAATGTTTGGGGGTCTAAAACATGTTGGGTAGACTGAACTAAGTTAACTCACGACTGGAACAACTAAGCATCTAGACCACATACACAGTACATACTGGTTCTGGTGCGTTTGAAGAGAAATGTTGAAGCAAAGAGCAAAACATTTAACTTCCCCAATAACTAACAAGCAGCCAAAGAAACAAAAGTATAAAGTCAGCAATGCATTTTATTTTATATCTGTTTAATCATCTTGCACTTAATTGCTTTCTTATTGCTGGCAATTATCTTAAATTGTCATGCAGGGGAAGGAAGGAGAGATGAAGTTTAAACATTTGTGGTGTATCACAAATGCAATAGTGGTGCATCCGCTAATCCGAGCAGAGCAACAGTGGGAGCGTCTTGGGGGGAGATTGAGGCTCCTTTTAATTAGAGAGGAGAGCTGGAGGATTAGACGGACTGGGCACTGTTCAGATTCACAAACACACTGGCACATTCTGCAAGGCGATGTCCCAAATGGCACCCTATTTTCTATGTAGTGAACTACTTTTGACCAGGGCCCATAGGGCTCTGGTCAAAAGTAGTGCATGATATTATAGAGAACAGGGTGCCATTTGGGACAGTCCCATAAACTCTCCTCTCTCTGCCGCACGTCTCTACTGGAATTTCATTGGAGATGAAGACATTTTTATCTTTGCCTGAAACACTTGTTTACTTTCTCTAATTCTGAAGACAAAACTGTGAATCCTTGGATTTTAAAGTGTGCAAAAGATGTTGTGAATAGGGCATGTATATGCTTGAATAGATGAACGCATGTGTGCCCACCTGAGTGTGTGTGCATTTGTATGTGCGTGAATGTTTGTGTACTGTATGTGTCTAGTGTGCGCATGTGTATAAGTGTGTGTGTGCGCGAGTGTGAGTTAGCAAGAGAGAAGTGTTTGTACCCCCATGTTCCCTACAGACCTGGACGGCAGGCTGTCTGGGCAGGCCTGCACACACACACACACACTCCCCTTGATTAATGGAAATCCCATTTTGTTTCCACCACTCTAATTAAGCAGGTAGTTAAAATTGTGCTCATTAGCTACCTGCCACAGCACAGAGCAGAGCGTGGCCAACAGCTCTAATTACTGGGAGGAGAACTCCAGTCGGTGCAGCGCCGTGCACCGCGGCTGCAGAGGAACCGACCGAGGAGAATACTGTTGACTGTATCCTAAGTAGCCAGTGCTCTTTTGTGCATACGTACTGGCTCCTAATTAATATTCACCAAATTATAAATGCACTTGTGGATAGAAGTCAAAACACACTCACCCACACAAAAAAAATACATTTCTCATTAGCCCACCATGGCTTTTAATTATACAGCAATCCTCTAACTATCTGAATAGTCACACTCTCTGGACACTGGGGATTGAGATGAGCAACAAACGAGCCACTTGCAGGGGTGAGCCAATTATTACTGTGGATTTCTCCTGCAGAGATGTTACATTACAAATCAGGACCACTGAGCAGGCTGCTGAGTTTATGATCACTGCTTAGTATCTATAGTTAGCGAACTAGAGGTACTGAGCAAAGAAAGCTAAACATACTGTAGAGTTAAATAATGGTCATTAGTTATAGACTTATAAAAGTAGGGATGTGCATCTTTCCTGTTCAAGATGATTCGATACATATCTAGATACAAAGACTCCGATACAATACAGGAACGATCCGTTTTAGTTAGAAATGATTCGGTGTGATTAGAGAACAAATCAATGCGATTCGGTTCAATGCGATACGATGCACTAACATTTGTTGCTGCTGATGGAGCTCATGACCTGGGCCTCTGAGCTGACTTCTGTCTGTGTGTGTGTGTTTGGTGTGTGTGTGTAAATGATTGTACACTGAGTATACGAAATATTAGGAACACCTTCCTAATATTGAGTTGCACCCCCCCCCCCACCCCACATTTTGCCCTCAGAAACAGCCTCAATTCGTCGGAGCATGACTCTACAAGGTGTCAAAACCATTCCACAGGGATGCTGGTCCATGTTGACTCCAATGCTTCCCACAGTTGTGTCAAGTTGGCTGGATGTCCTTTGGGTGGTGGTCGCTGGTTCGAATCCCCGAGCCGACTAGGTGAAAAATCTGTCCATGTGCCCTTCAGCAAGGCACTTAACCCTAATTGCTCCAGGATCGTCGTCAATAATGTCTGATCCCTGGCCGTTACCCCACTCTCCGAGGGTGTCTCAGGGAGTGGGATATGCAAAAAAACTAAATGTCCAATTCACACGTGTATAATACACACTTGTATATGTGTGAAATAGGACAAATGTAAGCACCCACCTAATTATTGTTATAATATAAGGGAGACTAGGCATCTACCACCCCACTACCACCACCCCACTACCACTATCAGATTAGGGGGTGCAATGCAGCCTGTTTTTTGTCTCCGGTATCTAACTTTTATTCTGGAAAACACAATTTTCAACAGCGCATAGATAACCTAGCAAATTACATAGGTTGTTACTCAACTAATAAAACCTAATATCACGCAAGCCATTTTAGCATTTGAATGCTGAAGGTGACGCGCAGATGTGCAAGATCAAGAACAGGCCGCCTACCTCGCGTTGGTCAGTGTGCGAAGCTGGGCACAGTGCTCAGTTTGACTAGGCTAGGCTACTGATATTGCCTGGGGTTGTTCTGCATGCAAAATGACTTGTAGATCAATGACTGTCAACACAGTTAGGCCTACATGCAGTTTGACACTAAAGGAGGGGATGCATCAGTTGTCACAAAATATGAGTTATTTTCGGAAGTTAGAAAGAACGTAATATACACTACCGTTCAAAAGTTTGGAGTCACTTCGAAATGTCCTTGTTTTCCATGAAAACATACATGAAATGAGTTAGAATAGGAAATATAGCAAAGTGCATAGGAAATGCAGTCATTGACAAGGTTAGAAATAATGATTTTTAATTGAAATAATAATTGTGTCCTTCAAACTGTGCTTTCGTCAAATAATCCTCCATTTGCAGCAATTAAAGCCTTGCAGACCTTTGGCATTCTAGTTGTCAATTTGTTGAGGTAATCTGAAGAGATTTCACCCCATGCTTCCTGAAGCACATCCCACAAGTTGGATAGGCTTGATGGGCACTTCTTACGTACCATACGGTCAAGCTGTTCCCACAACAGCTCAATAGGGTTGAGATCCGGTGACTGTGCTGGCCACTCCATTATAGACAGAATACCAGCTGACTGCTTCTTCCCTAAATAGTTCTTGCATAGTTTGTAGCTGTGCTTTGGGTCATTGTCCTGTTGTAGTAGGAAATTGGCTCCAATCAAGCTCTGTCCACAGGGTATGGCATGGCATTGCAAAAGGGAGTGATAGCCTTCTTCAAGATCCCTTTTACCCTGTACAAATCTCCCACTTTACCACCACCAAAGCACCCCCAGACCATCACATTGCCTCCACCATTCTTGACAGATGGCATCAAGCACTCCTCCAGCATCTTTTAATTTGGTCAGCGTCTCCAAAAAAATGTTATTATTTGTGTTCCGAACACCTCAAACTTCGATTCGTCTGTCCATAACACTTTTCCAATCATCCTCTATCCAGTGTCTGTGTTCTTTTGCCCATCTTAATCTTTTATTTTTATTGGCCAGTCTGAGATATGGCTTTTTCTTTGCAACTCTGCCTAGAAGGTCAGCATCCCGGAGTCGCCTCTTCACTGTTGATGTTGAGACTGGTGTTTTGCGGGTACTATTTAATGAAGCTGCTAGTTGAGGACCTGTGAGGCGTCTGTTTCTCAAACTAGACACTAATGTATTTGTCCTCTTGCTCAGTTGTGCACCGGGGCCTCCCACTCCTCTTTCTATTGTGGTTAGAGCCAGTTTGCGCTGTTCTGTGAAGGGAGTAGTACAAAGCATTGTACGTGATCTTCAGTTTCTTGGCAATTTCTCGCATGGAATAGCCTTCATTTCTCAGAACAAGAATAGACTGACGTGTTTCAGAAGAAAATTATTTGTTTCTGGCCATTTTGAGCCTGTATTCGAACCCACAATTGCTGATGCTCCAGATACTCAATTGGAACACAGGACTGATGGTTGCTGATAATGAGCCTCTGCACGCCTATGTAGATATTCCATTAAAAATCAGCCGTTTCCAGCTACAATAGCCATTTACAACATGAACAATGTCTACACTGTATTTTTGATCAATTTTATGTTATTTTAATGGACAAAAAAATTGCTTTTCTTTCAAAAACATGGAATTTCTAAGTGACCCCAAACTTTTGAACGGTAGTGTATATAAATTTAAAAAAAAAGATTTTCTGATCAATGCATGCTACATTTCAATTGGTTTGTGGTCCGATGCACTTGTAATCTTAAACATTTGTATCGGGGACCGATGCATATCGGTGAATCGTTACGTCCCTAATAAAAAGCCTCTCGGAATTGATGTATGTGCATGAGCTGTGCTTTGTGTCTGAGCTGTGTGAACTGCAGTGTGTGAAGGCTGTACTCAGCAGGAACAGTCTTAACACACTGTGGTCCCGTGTAGCTCAGTTGGTAGAGCATGGCGCTTGCAATGCCAGGGTTGTGGGTTCAATTCCCGCGTGGGACCAGTACGAAAAAAGTATGAAAATGTATGCACTCACTACTGTAAGTCGCTTTGGATATGCCTAAAAATTTAAATACTCACGTTTCTGCGGGGGAAGGTGGTGAGCAGTTTGAAGCCATCCCAGGGGTAGCCCTTGGAGGCCACAAAGTCAAAGAGGACCTGCAGCTTGGTGCTGCCCAGGAAGCGCCGCACCAGGAACTCTCCACTGGGAGTTCGGATACGCAGCTTGCTAATTGGCTCTCCTCCCTCCTCTGCAGGCTCTGGGGGCAGGGCATGCTCCAATGAGAGGCGGATGGCCTGAACAAAGAGGAGGGACAAAAATATCATAGTGTTCGGTAGAGAAGGGGGTGATTATTCACAGTTGGACAATTACTTGTTAGTGTGATTTATTTGCTTACACCAACATTAATGACATGGATTCACTTTGTTTCACGGAACAATAAACTGTGGTAGAAAGGGGAACTTTAAAACTACTATTTATAAGGCATCAATTCCTCTGGCCTCTTCTTCCAAAACATGGCAAAATAATTCATCCCCCTTGGCTATTTTCCTATTTTGTTGCTTTACAACCTGTAATTTAAATGGATTTTTATTTGGATTTCATGTAATGGACATACACAAAATAGTCCAAATTGGTGAAGTGAAATTCTAACAAATAAATAACGGAAAAGCATATGTATTCACCCCCTTTGCTATGAAGCCCATAAATAAGATCTGGTGCAACCAATTACCTTCAGAAGTCACAATTAGTTAAATAAAGTCCACCTGTGTGCAATCTAAGTGTATTTAAACACCTGATCTGAAAGGCCCCAGAGTCTGCAACACCACTAAGCAAGGGGCACCACCAAGCAAGCGGCACCATGAAGACCAAGGAGCTCTCCAAACAGGTCAGGGCCAAAGTTGTGGAGAAGTACAGATCAGGGTTGGGTTATAAAAAAATATCAGAAACTTTGAACATCCCACGGAGCACCATTAAATCCATTATTTAAAAATGGAAAGAATATGGCACCACAACAAACCTGCCAAGAGAGGGCCGCCCACCAAAACTCACGGACCAGGCAAGGAGGGCATTAATCAGAGAGGCAACAAAGAGACCAAAGATAACCCTGAAGGAGCTGCAAAGCTCCACAGCGGAGATTGGAGTATCTGTCCATAGGACCACTTTAAGCCATACACTCCACAGAGCTGGGCTTTATGGAAGAGTGGCCAGAAAAGCGCCATTGCTTAAAGAAAAAAATAAGCAAACACGTTTGGTGTTCGCCAAAAGGCACGTGGGAGACTCCCAAAACATATGGAAGAAGGTACTCTAAAATTGAGCTTTTTGGCCATCAACGCTATGTCTGGCGCAAATGGTGGTGGCAGCATCATGCTGTGGGGATGTTTTTCCATCTGCAGGGACTGGGAAACTGGTCAGAATTGAAGGAATGATGGATGGCGCTAAATACAGGGAAATTCTTGAGGGAAACCTGTTTCATTCTTCCAGAGATTTGAGACTGGGACGGCGGTTCACCTTCCAGCAGGACAATGACCCTAAGCATACTGCTAAAGCAACACTCGAGTGGTTAAGGAGAAACATTTAAATGTCTTGGAATGGCCAGACCTCAATCCAATTGAGAATCTGTGGTATGACTTAAAGATTACTGTACACCAGCGGAACCCATCCAACTTGAAGGAGCTGGAGCAGTTTTGCCTTGAAGAATGGGAAAAAATCCCAGTGGCTAGATTATAGAGGTTATAGAGACATAGTGAATAGTTATGCACGCTCAAGTTCTGTTTTTTAAACTTATTTATTGTTTGTTTCACCCAAAAAAGTATTTGGCATCTTCAAAGTGGTAGGCATGTTGTGTAAATCAAATACAAACCCCCCAAAAATCCATTTTAATTCCAGGTTGTAAGGCAACAAAATAGGAAAAATGCCAAGGGGGGTGAATACTTTCGCAAGCCACTGTAGACTAGTCTTTGCATCTCATTCATAAAGACATACAGTACGGCGCTAACTCGTGCCGGGGTAGATTAGATAACGGCCCGAACAAATAGGGTCGCCTCATCAACAGCATGGAAATTAATCAGGTCTCCAGTGTTACAGAGCAGGACCTGCTGCTCCCACAAGGGCTCTTTCCCTCCAGCTTGTTGTTCCTGTTTTGACAGAGGGTAGCATATGCTGTGACAACACACGGCAGCTTTATTTACCAACCATAATGCAATTATATTTCATAAAAGTGTACAACAGTAGCTCATTAGCAGCTCCAGGCTTTGAGTGGGCGCGTGCCGGAGGCGCTCCCCAGGTAGGGGCCTGGTAAAGGGCCCCCCAGGGCCCCGCTGCAGCACACTGCACTGTGGCGTCTCGAAAGCCACAGAGTACACGCCTCACTTACGGCCTGCTCCGCACAAAGAACACTCAGGAGCATCATCACTCACCGCAAAAAACAAACACCACCACAGGAGGGGGCAGGGAGGAGGGGCAGTGTGCGCACCTGACAGGAGCACCATGAGGCCCCTGGTACCGGTAAATAATGACATCACCACTCCCCCCTCTGCCTACCTCTTCCTTTCATCTCCCTCTCCACACAAAGACACAAAATCACAGAATGCATTCCCCCTTGTACTCGTGGGTCTACTGTGCGGTTTGTTTCCCTGCTGCCTGCTGGACATTGTGACGGGTGGTGCAGGGCAGACAGCCGGAGACGTGAGGCAGACTTGCGGTCTGTTCTGTGGGTACAGACAGTGTGTAGTCCAGGGCGGCTGAGTGGGTGGGTGGGGTGGGTGCTTGGCTAGACTCCAGGTGTGGGACACCATGCTGCCTTGTTTACTCACACACAATGTCAGAGAAATGAGGCGTTGGAGCAGCCAGGGATAAGCAGCACAACTCTGAATGGTTGGGACAGCTGTTATCCTTCCTCCACACGCCATAAAGACACACCGGCTCCGCTTATTATCTCCCAACCTTCTACCTGACAACCCACAGCAGTAGTAGTGGGTGATCGAGCGAAACGAACTGGAACTAGATCTGTGGTTTGAACTCTAGAAATACATCTGAGTGAGGTTCCAGTGCCAGTTACAGTTGTGTGATGAGTCATGAAGTTCTGATATAGGTACAAACTGTATGTAAAACGCGTGACGTAAATCTAGATGTAATCTGTGAAGATGTACAACCTGTGAAAGCCTGTCATACACACACAAAACACCCTTTACCTCATCACTGTATGTGATTATGGTTGTGGTATAATATGTGTTGATGTGCGTCTGTGGTTTATAACTAGTGGTCTTCCTCCAGGTTGTTGGTGTGTCTCTCCTGTTGTGGGGAGTTGGGCCCCTCTTGTCCTTGAGGCTTCATTACTGAATCCACCAGTCTCTCTCAGTCTCCACTCTCATCATTAAACACACCACAGGGCCTCCTGCCTGCCTCACACTTGACCAGGAAGACACACAACCAGACACGTGAAACACAGTTGACCAGGTGAAAATACACCTGATACAGTCACACACAAGTCAGGTCAATGACTAGATGATGTATGTGTTTGCCCCTGCTTTAGCCTTTAGGGCCACAATAAGGTAAGCCTGTCTGAGGTAAAGGAAAACGACGTGGCATATACTGGATGTAAACAACAGAGGGGCCATTGTTGGGTATCATGTTTCTGAATATCTACACTGTTGCATACAAGCAGGGTCGGTTGGCGGAGAGGAAACCATGGCAACGGGCTAGAGGACTACAGTGATATAATTAAGACCGGAAAGAAAGGGCTTTTGTCCGGGGCTGTTTAACTAATGTGACAAATCATCTCAGCTAGCTGGTTCACCTGATCCCTGCTGTCTGTGGAGTTTGCTGCTGAGTAAATAGCCAATCAGCTGGCTAAAAGGAGCTATATCTACAGCATCCACCACTGCGTTCCCACTGCCATAATTGTTTTTCTTTGTCCGACCGTGCTTTGTGCTGCCCCTTTTGTTCACTTGGTTTCAATATGAGCTTGTGTGTTGTATGGCATTTAAACAGGACAATAACATCTCTGTATGTCAAGCTTAACAGGGATAGGGCTTACTGTACACACAAGAGACTAGTACATGTTCCTCTGTCTCACTGCCTCCACCATGGGGATCACATGTTAGCATACACTCCACAAACAACATATGGACATGCAGCAAGAAACAGACTCAAATAAACTATACAAAAGTATGTGGACACCCCTTCAAATTAGTGGATTCGGCTATTTCAGCCACACCCATTGCTGACAGGTGTATAAAAATTGAGCCCACTGCCATGCAATCTCCATAGACAAAAAAGTAGAATGGTCTTACTGAAATGCTTAGTGACTTTCAATGTGGCACCGTCATAGGATGCCACCTTTCCAACAAGTCAGTTCGTCAAATTCCTTCCCTGCTAGAGCTGCCCTGGTCAACTGTAAGTGCTGTTATTGTGAAGTGGAAATGTCTAGGTGCAACAACGGCTCAGACTCGAAGTGATAGGCCACACAAGTGCTGAAGCGCGTACCGTGTAAAAATCGCCTGTCCTCGGTTGCAACACTCACTACTGAGTTCCAAACTGCTACTGGAAGCAACGTCAGCACAAGAACTGTTTGTTGGGAGCTTCATGAAATAGGCATCCATGGCCGAGCAGCCGCACACTAGCCTAAGATAACCATGCGTAATGCCAAGCATCGGCTGGAGTGGTGTAAAGCTCACCACCATTGGACTCTGGAGCAGTGGAAAGGCGTTCGCTTCACCATCTGGCAGTCCGACGGACGAATCTAGGTTTGGCGGATGCCGGGAGAATGCTACCTGCCCCAACGCATAGTGCAAACAGTAAAGTTTGGTGGAGGAGGAATAATGGTCTGGGGCTGTTTGTTATGGTTCGGGCTAGGCCCCTTAGTTCCAATGAAGGGAAATCTTAACGCTACAGCATACAGTGACATCCTAGACGATTCTGTGCTTTCAACTTTGTGGCAACAGTTTGGGGAAGGCCCTTTACTGTTTCAGCATGACAATGCCCCATGCACATAGCGAGGTCCATACAGAAATGATTTGTCGAGATCGGTGTGGAAGAACTTGACTGGCCTGCTCAGAGCCCTGACCTCAACCCCATCGTACACCTTTGGGATGAATTGGAACACCGACTGCGAGCCAGGCCTAATTGTCCAACATCAGTACCCGACCTCACAAATGCTCGTGGCTGAATGGAAGCCCCCGCAACAATGTTCCAACATCTCGTGGAAAGCTTTCCCAGTCGAGTGGAGGCTGTTATAGCAGCAAAGGTGGGACCAACCCCATATTAATGCCCATGATTTTGGAATGAGATGTTCGACAAGCAGGTGTCCACATACTTTTGGTCATGTAGTGTATATATACTGTATGTTATTAAAATCTAACAAAGTGAACACGTGCTTTCAGTTATTTAAGTAGGAAATGATTGTAACTCTAAACAACATTATGTGATATGAAATAATGAGGTTAATGTTCTCACCTCTTTCTCATCATCTGCTTCTTTCTGGATCTGTTGCATGCGAAGCTGTTCTGCCTGCTCTCTCTCCTGTGCTTCTCTCTGAAACAGAAATATATTTTTATTCATCCACCCATTCGACATCAAACCATTATGAACAGTGATCAAACAATCAACCGTGCGACTGTTTACAGGGTGGTTTCACAATAACCATTTACAACACATAGTAATCGCCACAATCATAACATGATTATAGAAGGGTATCCCCTTTAAAGTTGTGCTCTGTTTAATGTTTCACTTGAGGTTGATGCTAAAACGTATGCTAAAAACCCTCTAACATCTATCTGATGAGAATGGATCCATGCCATTGTGTTGTAGTTGATGACCAACCTTTTTACGGTCAGCCTCTAAAGACAGTTGGTAAGCCTCATCCTGCTCCCTCTTCACCATTTCCCTGGCTTCACGTTCATCCTGGATAGAGAAAGAGACCACGTTAGAAGAGAAGACAAATACCCTCAAGTTATGATGTAACCAATAACGCCAATAACAATAGAAGTAGTTAAAGTAAAAACAGTTGCTTTCTTCCTCTGCCACATGTTATATTGTGCTGTGCTGAATAGTTGTGATACCTGGCAGCTGAGCAGCAGGAAGTGGAGTAGAATGAGAGAACTGAATGTTTTGTGTGGTTTAGCCAGACAAGGCTTGAAAGAGTATAATGTGGGAGAAGGGAATCCATCCGGGCCTTGACTTCCTTAACAGACCTGAAGCCTCTTTTCTGTTTGTACAGAGGCAGACGACTGCCTTTCTACGTGCTGTGTGTAAGAGGCTTTCTAAAGCAGGGAGAAAGAACTGTTTCCATTGTGTCATCAATGGCATTTGTTTTGGAGCCTGGGAGACTACATTTTCTTTTCTGAACCCTGGACTTTGTGCCAATGACGTGAAAAGGTGAAGCTATTGTGATATGTGGGGTTTGTGCGCAGGGCAGGGGGAGTGGTCAATTCTTGCATTGAAGCCTGAGAATGAAAAGGATACATTATCCTAAATCATATTGGTCGCTGAACAGACACTGTAGTAGCATGGTTGAGGACAAAAGAATAAAGGGTCACTTATCGTAAGTGCATTTGCCCTGCAGTCACGCAATAACAGTTACTATAAAGTATAATGTTCTGTATTGTGCTCATCCCCTTTGATGAAATATCGTGAAACAAACAAACGTTGCTTTTACTATCCATAACACACATTATGGACAGGTACCTTTCTTCAATCATTTACTGGGTATTGAAGTGATACCATACAATACAGTTTCCAACTACTTATGTAGCCTTTATCTGGTATTAAACGAGATCAAAGGAATAAACTAAAAAGTATGGAACAGATTCTAACAGCCAGGTATTTCCTGCTGATGATGCACAGTCCATAACTAACTAAACAGACAATCCAGGCGTGGCTGGAGCAGTCAAGTTTGTTCAAATCTATGTGAAAGTAACTTTTTGGTTCTGCTGCAGTCTGTCCACCTCCCAGGCATGTCAGTCAGTCAGTGAGGAATGCGAGTGTGATGTTGGTAGATGTCTGGGTCTGTCCTCAGACGAATGGGCCAGCAGAGCAGGACAGCCTCAGACAGTGAGTAGGTGTGAGCTCAGAGCAGTCTGGGGTAGCGGGGGCTGTGGCAATGTGGGAACATCAGGTCAGCATAGAGGGGCTGAGGTTTAGATTTATTTTGGGATCCCCATTAGCCGACACCAATGGCTACAGCTAGTCTTCCTGGGGTGAACCTGAATTCTTCTGAGTGACCTGTACTGAAGGGTGACTCAGAGTACACCAACACCCCTAGCCTTAGGAGTCCTCTGCTTGAACTCTCAAGTCCAAATTATGACTGATTACTGACATGCGGTACATAAATCTGACCCAAGGCATTCGACTAATATAAGGGGGCCAAGGGGCCAAACAATTCTATTTAAATATCTATGAGACTGTACACGTAGTGAGGTGATTTAGCTAATATGATAACTCTTTCCAATGAATGAGAGGCGGTCGGTGAGCACAAGGAGTGACGAGTTCACTTCACTTCACAGCAAAGATGTATATGGTCTGGCATTTACAGGATGTGGTTGCAGATTCCTGTGGTTATGAATCACTGGTACATTACCCACTCATGATCATTTGTTCTCCTGATTTGTGACATTATCACTTCACATTTCCATCAATCCCGACAGGCCTGTGTAATTAACACAACCAGTGACCTTTATGGAGCCAGATCGCTTGTCAAGGTGCCAGAAAATAATATACTTCTTGTCATGAACAGAAACATTTGAAATATGTCAAATTGAAAAGTCATTAAGAATCAAATTGCATGGTATGTTAACTGAGTAACAGTATTTCTGTTGACAGCAAAAGCTGTCATATTTGCTTTGCATCTATGAAAACAATAGCAAGGCAACCAACAGAGCTTCTCCCCATGAAAACCTGTCACTCAACTTCTCTAAATGCTCTGAGCTTGGTGCTGTAGCATCCAGCCTGGTCACACAAGACCAACAGCTTGGTGACATGTAACCATAGTGTACACAGTTCTTGTTGCTTATTGGTCTTAATGATTTTTTCTGAAAGGGTAGGCATCCAATGAGAACCTAATGGGAATCCCAGTTACAGACTGAGAAGTGTCAACACTCATCGGCTCACCTACAGTTACCCCTCCGGCTGTGAGCAAAATAACACTAAATGTCTCACAATTCCCATGACGACATGCTGTAACTAAACTAATCAACCACTGAAAGGTCACTAAACTAGTATTGTTACGATAACACAGTTGGAGCCTAACTAACACATTCCTCATATCACGCAACTTTGAGAAAGACAGGCAACCACCAAGGCCTAGTGCTGAGGAACATGAGACTATCTCAGGTTTTAATCTACTAAAACACGCTGCTGCAGATGCCTTTCATCTCAGAGACAGTAACCACTTTGTGACTATTACTTTCTTTAAATGTCTATCCCATCAACAAGAGTGAAAGGTCTAAAGATAAGTCGGTGAGAGAGAATGTGTCCTGGTAGTCAGTCATCTCCCACTGACAAGTTGACGCTAAGTATTGAGCACATTGGTCTGAGCCTGATGACACGTCGTCTTCCCACTTAATCTCTTCCAGACTGCTGATTAATGAGAGGTTTAAACAGTACAAAGAAACATGGCATGGAGTCATCTGTATTCACTAACAACAAGAACTGTATGCCTGAGACAACATGGTCTAGTGTAGTCAGCTGAGGGGGACTACCTGTTTAAAGGGTCAGACAAAACTAGAATGCCGTTCTTTGTTTATTTGATGTTGAGTAAATACCTGCTAAAGAGGGACAATGGTTAAATCCATCCATTTCGACACATAAAAGACAGCGTTCATGAGGTCAGGTAAATGTCTGACACAGAGGGACCCCTGCCATACTGTCCCCAGATTCCTGTCCTCACATGAACGAATACCTACTCTGTTTCACTGCTTTCTTCTCAGAGTGGAGCTTGGAATTTGTCGAGTTTCTATTGGATTAAAGTGGCAATAGACAGAGAAGAGTGAAAAAGAGAACAGTTTGTATCCTGCTCCCATTGTGAAGACCTTAGGTACAGTAAACTAAAACAAAATGGGAGGGAAATTAATTGTGATTCGCCCCCCTGCCCCAGACAAAGGGCCTCTCAGATGTATGTTCCTAGCCTTGGCCCTAAGTGGAGCTGGTGGTAGTCACAATGCATTCCGATTTGTCTCCGCATGTCCCCATTTAGCTCCCAGACAAACTATGGCATAATTCTATGAGAACGGCTGAAATGGCACAATAATTGGCTCCCTCTTGGCCTCCTGTGATTAAACAAATCACGGTATATTTCAGTGGCCATGGCCTAATCATGGCTTACATTTCAAACATCTACTCCCCCTTAAAGACTCTGTTCCTCTGTGTGCTTTCAGAGTTCCTCTCATCTGTACCTCATCCTTGATGTCCTCTTGTTGCTGAGCTGTGAAGATTTCCATCGCACCCATTAGCCTCATCATCAACTCATCCACTGTCGTGTTGCCTTCAAAGAATAATATAAAACAAGACATAAGAAATGAGAAAATACTTTTTGGGATTTTTTGCCCCCATTGAAACAAATACTTTATTATTTTATCATTATAGAAGGATGACACAGTAAATGGCTAAATTATAGCTATAGTTAACTATAGCTTTATAAACCCCTCCTTTTAACCAGAACATTACAAATATTCAACCCATCGATATTGTTGAGTCTTTACCTTGAATAACATTTAAAACTTCATTTGAAGTCCTCTTTCCCATGACAATAAGGAGCAGGGGGAACTGATCAGTCTTGTACGTCCGAATCGTCTGTGCCACCACACTGCCAAAATGCCTCGTGCAAATGGTGAGTAGTCTGGGAAAGGAAAAGACAGGACGGACATTTTTCACATGAACAGCACTTGAGAGGTACACAGCTCATAGCATTAAGGACTTTAAAACCAATTCTGCCTTTTCTTCCAGGAAACGTCCCTGTCTAAATAGGCCTGGTAGACAAATTAGTATTCCCCACCGCATGTGATGAATTGATAGGGCAGAGAGGATTTCTTATTCCATTACAAAGACAGAACTTTAAATTAACATTTCACTAGAAGGAAAAGGGTAGCAGGCAGGCCCTCAGAGCTCACTGTAAATGTCATAATATTAATGAATTGCTATAGACAATGCAAATATAGATTAGCTTTTTTGCTCGCCTTTTAATAAGATCCACTTTAATAACTGGCTGGTAAAATAGAGGAGTAATGAAATGGGTGGAGGATGAGGTCAGAGGGGAGAGGGATGGAGTGATTGGTCTGGGCGGGGCAGCTACTCATTAATCATGAATTCAAAGTTGAGAGTGCTAGTTGCATTACTTTTCAAACTATGAGATGGAACAGCGTCAACTCAATGCTTAACCATGGGAAGCATGAGCACCAATCTCCATCAGCATTCCAGGAGAAACAAGGTAATATCAACCACAATCCTTAAACCCAACATTACACTTACCCAAAATCAACACCAAATAGCTCATGTAGTTGATCACGGATTCTGACAATGTGGCTGACCAGTCTTTTGTCCATTCTGCTGTGGTTAAGGAGGGGTTCTCCCCATGACACAGTGAGGTTAAGATGATGTCCAAGCCCTGTCCCTTAGGAGTCAACCCAACACATTGAAACACTGTTTCAAGGAACCAACTACGTAAATCAGCCAAGCCAACACAATACAGCTTTCTCTTACACCTACCATACATAGCCTTCTGCTTAATCTTTTTACTAACTCAGGAGTAACCCTAAAGAGCAGAAATGTTTCTACATATGACGCGCAGGTCGGCATTTATTGGGATGACTCGTACTGGAGGCAGCTCCGCAGAGTGGTCACTAGCTGGCACAGCTACAAAGTCATACAATCTGGTTTTGAACCTAACCCTAACCACATTGCTACAGTAACCCTAATGCCTAACACTAACCTTAAATTAAGACCAAATACAGTGGGGAAAAAAAGTATTTAGTCAGCCACCAATTGTGCAAGTTCTCCCATTGAAAAAGATGAGAGAGGCCTGTAATTTTCATCATAGGTACACGTCAACTATGACAGACAAAATGAGAAAAAAAAATCCAGAAAATCACATTGTAGGATTTTTTATGAATTTATTTGCAAATTATGGTGGAGAATAAGTATTTGGTCAATAACAAAAGTTTCTCAATACTTTGTTATATACCCTTTGTTGGCAATGACACAGGTCAAACGTTTTCTGTAAGTCTTCACAAGGTTTTCACACACTGTTGCTGGTATTTTGAGCCCATTCCTCCATGCAGATCTCCTCTAGAGCAGTGATGTTTTGGGGCTGTCGCTGGGCAACACAGACTTTCAACTCCCTCCAAAGATTTTCTATGGGGTTGAGATCTGGAGACTGGCTAGGCCACTCCAGGACCTTGAAATGCTTCCTACGAAGCCACTCCTTCGTTGCCCGGGCAGTGTGTTTGGGATCATTGTCATGCTGAAAGACCCAGCCACGTTTCATCTTCAATGCCCTTGCTGATGGAAGGAGGTTTTCACTCAAAATCTCACGATACATGGCCCCATTCATTCTTTCCTTTACACGGATCAGTCGTCCTGGTCCCTTTGCAGAAAAACTGCCCCAAAGCATGATGTTTCCACCCCCATGCTTCACAGTAGGTATGGTGTTCTTTGGATGCAACTCAGCATTCTTTGTCCTCCAAACACGACGAGTTGAGTTTTTACCTAAAAGTTATATTTTGGTTTCATCTGACCATATGACATTCTCCCAATCCTCTTCTGGATCATCCAAATGCACTCTAGCAAACATCAGACGGGCCTGGACATGTACTGGCTTAAGCAGGGGGACACGTCTTGCACTGCAGGATTTGAGTCCCTGGCGGCGTAGTGTGTTACTAATGGTAGGCTTTGTTACTTTGGTCCCAGCTCTCTGCAGGTCATTCACTAGGTCCCCCCGTGTGGTTCTGGGATTTTTGCTCACCGTTCTTGTGATCATTTTGACCCCACGGGGTGAGATCTTGCGTGGAGCCCCAGATCGAGGGAGATTATCAGTGGTCTTGTATGTCTTCCATTTCCTAATAATTGCTCCAAAGTTGATTTCTTCAAACCAAGCTGCTTACCTATTGCAGATTCAGTCTTCCCAGCCTGGTGCAGGTCTACAATTTTGTTTCTGGTGTCCTTTGACAGCTCTTTGGTCTTGGCCATAGTGGAGTTTGGAGTGTGACTGTTTGAGGGTGTGGACAGGTGTCTTCTATACTGATAACAAGTTCAAACAGGTGCCATTAATACAGGTAACGAGTGGAGGACAGAGGAGCCTCTTAAAGAAGAAGTTACAGGTCTGTGAGAGCCAGAAATCTTGCTTGTTTGTAGGTGACCAAATACTTATTTTCCACCATAATTTGCAAATAAATTCATTAAAAATCCTACAATGTGATTTTCAGGATTTCTTTCTCTCAATTTGTCTGTCATAGTTGACGTGTACCTATGATGAAAATTACAGGCCTTTCTCATCTTTTTAAGTGGGAGAACTTGCACAATTGGTGGCTGACTAAATACTTTTTTTCCCCACTGTATCTAATTTTTGTTTGCACAAATTTTTACGATACAGACAATTTTGACTTTGCAGCTGGCCCATCTAGCGGAAATCACTCAGTTCTGCCTCCAGGGCAAGATTCATGACAATAAACATCAACCTGTATATGGTGCACAATAACAAGTACTGACACAGCATCACAAATGAAGGGTGAAAATCGTGTCGCTGAAGCGCAGGAAGTAAAAATTTAACCAAGGAATAAGGTGGGCGGTTCATTGCAGTCTCTTTCAGCCATAACATATCTTAAAGAATGTATAGCTTTGCTTCTCACAACATCCTTAAGGGAGTTATTTTTTTCTAACTACTGGAAACACCTGGTGCTTGAATATCAGGCCATGGTTGGTTTGGTAATGAGAGTGACAGCTTCTAATTCAGCTCACTCTCTTCCTCTCCACACGGCAAAGTGTTAATGTTTCCCTGGACTGTCAGGTTCACTTCTTTACATCAAAGTCATGCATGAGATGTTGAGAGACTGCTGCAACCTTACATACACTCCAGTGAGCATACAACAAACTCTCAGGTGTGCTTTAGTCAATCACGTGGAATAGGAACCGGATGCTACTCACAGAAAACACAGATCGTTTCTGTGCAGACATGTTTTGAATACACAGTGCTTCTGAACAAGTCAGATGAGTGCATGACACCCTTTCACTGGTAATGTGTTCAATTATGAGGAGTTCAATACCATTCTTGATCGGTACAGCACCGTATGATAAATTAAAATAGATGAGACGTGGTATGAAAGTGGGTAGTCAAACGCAAAAGCATGGAATCAAAAGCTAACAACTATCTGAAAGATGTAGAGTATATTTATTCATAGATAAGTTAAATATTTGCTGTGCATGAGATTCAGTGTCTGTAGTATTTCAGATCCATTTTCCCATGGGCAACAATTACATTTTGACGTATTCAACAGGTATGGTTTTATGCATAATTATTCACTTAACTAAAGAGGAACCGCTATGAGGCCCTATGAGTTAGAATACCTTCTTAAAAGCCCCTGTGACTCGTAGAATACCTTCTTAATAGCCACTGTGACTCGTAGAATACCTTCTTAATAGCCACTGTGACTCATGCCAATCACCAGTCACTCAGGATCAACCTAAGAGCGTGAGAATGTGGGAAAAACGTGTGTGTGTACGTACGTGCGTTCGAGCAAGTAGCAGTGCACATTATGAAAAGCTCCAGATGTTGCCTGCCTTTAATCTGCAATAAAAAGGCTCAGCTGGGGGAAAAAGCAAGAACCAAAAGGGAGAAAGGGTGCGGAATGAGGGAAGGTCAGTGTCTGAGCCTCTCCCCCCAGTCTTTCTTAAACGCCTCCTACCAGGGGGTGGGCTTAGCCCTGAAGTCTAGTGGAAGGAAAAGCTGGGGCCTGCCCCGGAGCAAGAGGCTGCTGCTGGGCTCCAATCAAACCTCCATCTGGTTACTGGCCCTCTCTCCTCCTCCATGCTCCCCACAGCAGACAAATCACACCTGGGCCACTGCCCCATTCTTGCCCTTGGCTAGGGGAGGAGAGCATGGCCAGGGAGGGGAAAGCCTGGCTTTGGGGTCAGGAGTTGAAGGCTTGAGAGCGTAGTTGGGTATTGCTAGTGCAGGGAGTCACATACTGGGACAGGCAGAATATTGGTGGAAATAATGGAATTAGCTGTGAATTGGAAACTAACTGTTGTGAATTGTTATGGCGGAAAGATGAAGTTGGGTTGATAAGGATGCCATGAGCTCCCTCAGCCTTGGGGAAATAGAGATGTTCTCCCAGGCAAGGCAGACTTCATGGGAGCTTCATTTCTAACTGACCCTCCATTGAGGCAGATTAGTGAAGATTGCCCAATTGGGGCCTCATACTGCAAACACAACTGCTTTTGTTAGCACACATCCCCCTCCCCTCCCCGATGAAGAGGGGCTTGAGTTAAAGAGAAAGTGTGGTGCGGAGCAGGGGACGGGGGCTGAATCTCAGCTATTAAGATGTCATCCACTTGTCAGACAATCTCTGATATTCATTCTGTTTTCAGGGCTACAGTGGTAGATTCCTGAGACGTGATGAGGGCATAGAGTACTCATACATACCTGGCTTTGTTAGCTTCTTTAGTGACGTCCCATGCCCATGTGATGAAGTTCTGGCTCAGATAGGCCACTATGGAGTCTGCACACATCATCTGGGAGCAGAAGACGTTGCTGAGCACACTCTCGTCATTGTGGAGGTAGATGGCCAGCAGTTTTCTCTGTGGAAATGGACAGCAGAGAGGTTTTTTCATTAGCAGAGGTGTGAGGATTGGGAAGCTAATGACTTAATGACCAGCCAGACCCTGAAAAACAGGGTGAGAAAAGTGTCCTTGCTCAGAGTCTGGTCCTTGCTCAGAATTTAATCATTGAAGGGAGAGGTTTTATACAGCTTTCACGCGTCGCTCGACAGGAGACCGCAAGTAAAGCGATTGCTTTCACCGACAGCAAGGCCAAACCAGTGAATAGCAAACACACAAAATCAATTGAACAGGGAGTAAATAAAACTTCCTTTGAGGCGGCCAATGAGAAAACAAAACAGACAAATCACTTAATTTATTTTACACCAAATGCCATTGGCCTTCTCCTGCCTGCTCAGGTTAGCAGCAGGGGCGGGCAATATTGATGAAGCTCTAAAATCCAAGGATATTGACATCATCATATGAGTGACAGATTCTCAGGACTCACTGACAACTAATAAAAAACAAACACACCCACAAACATAAAAGGTTCTCTTGGACGGTGTAGGAACTAAAGCCCTCTAAATTACATAACATTCTCGCAAATTTCTTTCTGACCCCCTATGTTCATTACAACACTCAAGGGTGTGATTTCTCAGGAGCTGTAGCTACATACCAAAAGCAAAATAAGTACGGGCAGAAAAGTGAGGGAACATTAAAAGAAAGTTGTGCTATATTGTGGCCTGTGTAGAAAAGGAGTGGGAGAACACTGCTGTGTTTGCTCAGCGATTAGAGGTTTAGAATAAGCTCCTCAGTTCCTAGCGGGAAGGAGCTTGGGGCTCATTCAGTGGCCCAATTGAACGCCCTGAAAAGATTAAACACTCATGCTGAGAAGACAAGCAAATGCAGTCTTGAGAGGAGAGGGTTTTTTTCTCAAAAAAGATTAAATGAGACACAAGAACACACCCTCGCGCTCATTATCTTATACATACATGCACGTATTCGCACAAATACGCACACACACTCGTTCTTCTGCAACTTGTGTTAAGTCTCCAAAGGACATTTTCATAAACAGTAGGTTCAAAAACATACATTTTGTAAAGAGAGGAAACAAGCCCTCTCCTATAATAATAACCAATCACCAACTCCCTCATTTTACTTAAACGGTCTTTCCTTCTCTTTCACGTTTCATCTTTTGTAATGCTTTTCTAAGCAGGGACAAATCACCTGTAAAACCAAATTACTAGGTTCAACCTGGGCTAGAAAGTGACCCAAAAGGCCCTCTTTCTGGTGTGAATCCTCCCACCTGTTCACCATACAGAGGGGAGGAGGAGAGAGTAAAGAAACTAGAGAAAACTGATCCGTTCTGTGAGCCAGACTGTAGTGATTTTCACACAGCACCTTGTCAGTGTTCACTTCTCAGTCACTCAGTCTGTCCCTCTCCTAGTGTAGACTAGAGCCATGTGAACCAGGTAGCCGTTGGCCAGGAGCTGGGGAAGCAGAATGGGCTCAGCTCACATCCGAATGGTCTTTGTGTCCAGCCTGGACCATATGATTATCTGCAACATGAGCAGGAATTCTCCTACACAGGTGCGCCACTGGGGGATGAATAGTGACAACTGACAGATGCAGTAGACCAGTCAGAATAAAACGACTCGCAAAGATTCTAAAATGTAGAACCCAACTCATCTTTAACCACACCACCCAGACATGGATTGTTATGATAATGCAACACGACACCAGTGAAAAAAACAGGCATTTGTTTTGTTCTACAAAAGAGTTTCTATAGTACGGGTTATTAGAGGACAATGTGAAAATACACCTGCTTGATAACTGTGGCCCCTGATAAACACACTACCATATGTCATTTGTACCAGCCATCCATTTTCATTAGTCTCATTCAGTTTATGTATTTGTGTTGTGGGAGAACGTTTTTAATTATAGCCAGTGTTGGGGAGCAGAGAAGCCGGGTGAAAGTGATCATCCACAGCAGCCCGAAGAAAAGCAAACACTTTAAAATGAAGACCTCAAATTACTGCTCCCTTGCCCCACACACTGAGAACACACATTCGGATCAATGCTTTAACAGATGGTAGGCACATGATTGAACCGACTGAAAACACATTTTATATTAATAGTAACCAGTTCTGATGTAGTTTATTTTAGGTGCCATAACTAGTCAAAAAATGTAGTGAATACAAAACAATAGCATACAATTGTCAAATTGAATTTAAAGCTGCAATATGTAACTTTTTGGGCGACCCGACCAAATTCACATAGAAATGTGAGTTATAGATATGTCATTCTCATTGAAAGTGAGTCTAAGAAGTGGTAGATTACTTTCGGTTTTGTACACCAGCTTCAAACAGCTGAAAATACAATATTTTTGGTTATTAAAAAGATATTTGACAGCGGTTTAGATGGTACAATGATTCTCTACACTATACATTGTTTTGTCACATAAGCTGAAATTAGACAAACTATTAGAATTTTAGCAACCAGGAAATGACAGAGTGATTTATACATATTGCACCTTTAAATAATAAACCTCAGTCTTTATACACATGAAACTATAATAAATAGTCAAAATATTCAGCTGGGCTTCAGTTCACCTGACTGGAACTGTTCTAGTAGAAACAAATACAAATATGAAGACATCAAAATTAGATCACTTTCACCAGAGCAGGGAGGGATGGATGAAAATGTGTTTATCCATTTCCCTACCCGTGGTATCGATTTCTCCTCTCTCCCTCTCATTGCTCTTTTGCTAAACTACGGGGGATTTAAGCGGATACTCGAGTGTGATAAAAACCTCACCCCGGCACTGCTATGAATTTTGATGTGTGTCTTTGTGTGAGTGAGAGCAGGGTTACTCCGATTAACCGCACCGTTAAGGGGATTTGAGGGGAGCCTTGGCAGTGATGGGTGGCCTGTCTGAAGGGCCTCACTGCTGATCCCCTGGAGGGCTCAGGGGGCCAAAGCATTTTCATTAAGGACGGATTGAGGCGCATCTCCCCCTCCAGAAACGCTTCATCAAATGTAGTGTTTTACTTAGTGATTAGCCCGTCAGACATTGAGTGAGACAGATTCCTCTGCAAAATCTCTCCCCGGTCCCTCCTTCCCCTGAAACCTGCACCATACCAATATCCACTAAATGAACAGCTAGTTGCGATGACAAGAAGAACAGAGAGATTTAAACCAATTTCTTCAAGAGGGAGGTGGTGCTGGTTGGGGAGAGGTGTTTCAGTATAGTTGACACCTAATGGTCACATCAGTGAGAGTCAGATATGTGTGTGTTTCTCCAGTCTCATCTCCTCCAGGGCTACAGAGAGAGAGTAGGGGGTCAGCTGCATGTATCCCTTCATATTGGTTTATTTTCATTGACACAATATACAGTCTCCGGCTGCACCACAGTGAGATCCACGGAGAGGGGGCCATATTGCGCTGGCTTAGGGAAGACGATATCAGCTGGGAGGCAAGCCGAGCCTCTGGCTCATGGTCTAAAACCCCCCAAACATCTTGCTGTGTTCTCCCATTCTAATAAGACAGTAATCCACACAAGCTGTCAGTTGATACAACCCTCCTTAAAAGGACAAAGCAGAAAAATGAAGAAAAATTGTGGGCTAAAAATAAAGCGTCAGCTGTCATTATGAAAATGTAATGAGGTTTATCAAATGGTGGCTCTTTTTGAACAAGCACTCCAACTTTATGTCAAAAATAATAAATAAAAATAAAAAAACAAGCTCCTGAGTGGCGCAGTGGTCTAAGGCACTGCATCGCAGTGCTAACTGTGCCACTAGAGATCCTGGTTCGAATCCAGGCTCTGTCGCAGCCGGCCGCGACCGGGAGACTCATGGGCGGCGCACAATTGGCCCAGCGTCGTCCAGGTTAGGGAAGGAAATGGCCGGCAGGGATGTAGCTCAGTTGATAGAGCATGGCGTTTGCAACGCCAGGGTTGTGGGTTCGATTCCCACGGGGGGCCAGTATATATTTTAAAAAATATATGTATTCACTAACTGTAAGTCGCTCTGGATAAGAGCGTCTGCTAAATAATGTAAATGTAAAATATCGGCCTTCAAAAAGAATTGAATTACTTTTGTGTTACAGCCCGAATTCAAAATTGATAACATTTTAAAGACAAAGTGAAAACATGTTTTTAGAAATGTTAGTACATTTCTTGAAAATGAAATACAGAAATATATCAATTACATAAGTATTCACACCCCTTTGCTATGACACTCCAAATTGTGCACAGGTGCATCCAATTTCCTTGATCGTCCTTGAGATGTCACTACAACTTGATTGGAGTCCACCTGTGGCCAATTCAATTGTTTGGACATGATTTAGAAAGAAACACCAGTTTATATAAGGTCCCACAGTTGTCAGTGCATTTCAGAGCAGAAACCATACTATGAAGTCCAAGGAACTGTCTGTAGATCTCCGAGATAGAATTGTGATGAGGCATACTGTACCAGTCAAAAGTTTGGACACACCTACTCATTCAAGGGTTTTTCTTTATTTGTACTATTTTCTACATTGTAGAATAATAGTGAAGACATCAAAACTATGAAATAACATATATGGAATCATATAGTAACCAAAAAAGTGTTAAACAAATCAAAATATATTTGAGATTCTTCAAATAGCCACCCTTTGCCTTGATGACAGCTTTGCACACTCTTGGCATTCTCTCAACCAGCTTCATGAGGAATGCTTCATGAGCACTTGTTGGCTGCTTTTCCTTCACTCTGCCGTCCAACTCATCCCAAACCATCTCAATTGGGTTGAGGTCGGGGGATTGTGGAGGCCAGGTCATCTGATACAGCACTCCATTACGCTCCTTCTTGGTAAAATAGCCCTTACACAGCCTGGAGGTGTGTTGGGTCTTTGTCCTGCTGAAAAACAAATGATAGTCCCACTAAGCGCAAACCAGATGGGATGGCATATCGCTGCAGAATGCTGTGGTAGCCATGCTGGTTAAGTGTGCCTTGAATTCTAAATAAATCACAGACAGTGTCACCAGCAAAGCACCCCCACACCACCTCCTCCATGCTTCACGGTGGGAACCACACATGCGGAGATCATCCGTTCACCTACTCTGCGTATCACAAAGACACGGCGGTTGGAACCAAAAATCTCAAATTTGGACTCATCAGACCAAAGGACAGATTTCCACCGGTTTAACGTAAATTGCTCATGTTTCTTGGTCCAAGCAAGTCTCTTGTTATTATTGGTGTCCTTTAGTAGTGGTTTCTTTGCAGCAATTCGACCATGAAGTCCTGATTTACGCAGTCGCCTCTGAACAGGTGTCTGTTACTTGAACTCTGTGAAGCATTTATTTGGGCTGCAATTTCTGAGGCTGGTAACTAATGAACTCATCCTCTGCAGCAGAGGTAACTCTGGGTCTTCCTTTCCTGTGGCGGTCCTCATTAGAGCCAGTTTCATCATATCACTTGATGGTTTTTGCGACTGCACTTGAAGAAACTTTCAAAGTTTTTGAAATATTCTGGATTGTCTTAAAGTAATGATGGACTGTCGTTTCTCTTTGCTTATTTGAGCTGTTCATGCCATAATATGGACTTGGTCTTTTACCAAATAGGGCTATATTCTGTATATCACCCCTACCTTGTCACAACATAACTGATTGGCTCAAACGCATTAAGAAGGAAAGAAATTCCACAAATTAACCTTTAACAAGGCACACCTGTTAATTGAAATGGATTCCAGGTGACTACCTCATGAAGCTGGTTGAGAGAATGCCAAGCGTGTGCAAAGCTGTCATCAAGGCAAATGGTGGCTACTTTGAAGAATCTCAAATATAAAATATATTTTGATTTGTTTAATACTTTTTTTGGTTACTACATGATTCCATATGTGTTATTTCGTAGTTTTGATATCTTCACTATTATTCTACAATCATTTTATTTTATTCTTCTACTTTATTTTTCTAAAAATAAAGAAAAACCTTTGAATGAGTAGGTGCGTCCAAACTTTTGACTGGTACTGTATATTAATTAATATTATTATTAATATGCCATATTATCTGGGGAACGGTATATTTATTCAATTTCTATAGTGTTGAAAGTGGTCCCCATCATTGTGAAAAACTAAAAAACAAATATGGAATACCCAGACTCTGCCTAGAGCTGGCCGTCCGACCAAACTGAGCAACCGGGCAAGAAGGACCTTGGTCAGGGAGGTGACCAAGAACCCAATGACCACTCTGACAGAACTACAGCGTTCCTTGGCTGAGATGGGAGAACCTCTACAGCACTTCACCAATCTGGGCTTTATGGGAGAGTGGCCAGATGGAAGCCACTCCTGAGAAAAAGGCACATGACAGCACGCCTGGAGTTTGCAAAAATGCACATGATAGACTCAGATCATAAGATCAAAAGATTTTGTGGTCTGATGAGACAAACTGAACTCTTTGGCCTGAACGCAAAGCGCTGTCTGGAGAAAACCAGGCACAGCTCATCACCCGTCTAACAACATCCCTACCGTGAAGCATGGTGGTGGCAGCATCATGCTATGGGGATGCTTTTCAGCGGCAGAGACCGCGAGACTGGTAAAGATAGACGGAACAATGAATGGAGCCAAATACAGGCAAATCCTTGATGAGAACCTGCTTCAGAGTGCAAACCACCTTAGACTGGGGCGAAGATTTACGTTTCAACAGGACAATGACCCCAAGCATACAGCCCAAACAGCGATGGAATGGCTTCAGAACAAGGATGTGAAAGTCCTTGAGTGTCCCAGCCAAAGCCCAGACTTGAATCCCACTGAAAATCTGTGGGAAGACTTGAAGACTGCTGTTCACCGCCACTCACCATCTAACTTAACAGAATTTGAGAAAATCTGCAAGGAAGAATGGGAGAAAATCCCCAAATCCAGATGTCCAAAGCTGATACAGACACACCAAAAGACGACTCAAAGCTGTAATCGCCACCAAAAGGTGCTTCTGCAAAGTATTGACTCAGGGGTGTGAATATTTATGTAAATGAATATTTCTGTATTTCATTTTCAATAAATTTGCAAAAATGTCTAAAAACATGTTTTCACTTTTATTATGGGGTATTGTGTGTAGATGGGTGAGAAAAAAAGTATATTTAATCCATTTTGAATTCAGGCTGTAACAACAAAATGTGGAATAAGTCAAGGGGTATGAATACCTTCTGAAGGCACTGTAGTATCATGTCCTGTTAACCTGTCAATTATACTACTGAGACCAGCTCTTCCACTGTTACTTACATCTCTGGCTTTGCCATAGAAGGCCTCTTGAGATGCTGCCTCCAAAGTCCCAATGAAGAACACTGGATGACATTCTCCATACCTGCAACACACACAAAAAGGAGATAGATCCGTAAAAAAGAATGCATGGATCTTCCACATCAGATACACATAATTTGAGAAGCACAGGCCCCTTCGACTGCAACGATAAAACAATACTAAAAACGTACCTTGTTGAAAATTCAGCAGTAAAGTGCAGTAAGGCATCACTTTCATTCTCACTATTCTCTGGCACTGGAGAGAAAAATGTATTAGCTTGATAACAGATTGATAACAATTAAATACCTAATCAACCTTTTTGAATCGAGTGGTAGCATCATGCTAAAAGTGAGGTACGTACTCAAGGGGGCTTTCCGACAGCCTGTAGAAGACCCCATACCGAACATCTCTGATTCGTCCACACCAAATTCAGACGCATCCTCAAAGTCATCCCCCTCACTGTCGCTTACCATGTGGACATCTGCGCACTGTTCAAACATATTCACTTCAGTATTGTTGACCTATCAAACACAATGAAAAATGTAAAACAAGGCCAAATGTATTGTGTGTGTTGCGTGTGTTGCTCTACCTCTTCTGTGGGCTCCTGGTTATTGGCTGGTGAGGACCTTCGACACACACTGAGGTGATGGCAGGGGTAGCTGATTCCAGAGGCAGCTAGTGTCATCTAGGGACAGAAAAACAATACAATAAAATCGGAATAAACTTTCTATGCATTAACTTCCTCTTTTAACCTTAGAAGGGTAAAATAAACATATCTATAAGGAGGCGTAAAGGCAGAAATATATATAAGTTCAGCATTCACAGATAAACCATTCAGATTTCCTGATAGGATTAGAACAAAGCAATATTTATCCAGCCTGTTATGAGGAAACCCAGAAGAAATGTACATCCATGGTTTATGGACAACCTTCTAGAAATGTCTGGAAATGTCACCAACCGCAGCACTGGAGGGACTCATTAAAGACTGTTTATATGGCTGAACCCCAAGGGACAGGGTAAAGGTAGAGGCAGGGGCCATGGAAAGTGATGGGGCCCAAGCACCCATCTTTCTACCTGTGCTACTCACTAACCTGCTCTCCCTGAGAGTGTAAGGGATAATCTCAGTGTTAATCAGTACTGCATGTGTTAAAAGAATTTCATTCTTTCATTTCAAGTATGACAGTCTAGGGGCAGATGATATGAACCTGACCACAGCATCCTACATGGCCCACTGAAGCCAAGCTGCAAAACACCAATGACAATATAAAAATATAATGAATAAAATCATTATTGTCAAACCTAGCAGAAATAATCTCTACTCAACAATACTGTATTTTAGTCCGTTCATAATCAACATTAGCAAGCCAAGTCATCCACTACAGCTCAAATAACAGTAAAAATTAATTTACCTACTGGTTCATCGTTTGAGAAAATAACCTCATGTTCATTGCAAACAAGTGCTATAGTGGCATTAACTGGAGGTTTAAACCTAATGCCGTGATTGACACACCGTCAGATAAAAGGGAAAGTCCCTGGCCGTCAACAGCAGGGGGTGGCAATCTTTGCTATTGTCAGGTGCTCTAGCCAACAAAGACCAGCTGGTAATTGTTGAATCAGGACCCGATTACATGTTACGGCAATTGAGTTTCAAAAGCAGAGTGACTGCTGGAGTTTTCCACGTCTCTTTTAAAGTGATTCAGCCAGAGAATAGCGTAACAGCTAGTCCTTGTCGCTGGCTGATAAAAACAGAACATATCCAAATATAGAGAGCCATCATTCTCATTTGAGTCTACTGTTAATTACTTCTGGTGCTAGAAATAAGGTTGTATCTTGACCATTGTAAGTCAAATTCCCACTTGCTCAACAGTTGAGGAAAAACACCAGAAACACAGTATTCCCTGGACAAATAAAGCATGAGCAATATCCTGCCGTGGCCCATAGCTATTTCCCTGCTGTGCAGCACAGAGCCAGGGGAAGATGCAGGAAAGCCGTGTAGCGGCAACAGCAGAGTCTGTGAAGTCATGTTACCATCTTCTCGTCATGGTCTTCCCATGTGGCCTCGTGAGTTCCACGGCCCACACGTACGGACACGACAGATTGTGTTTATTGTCTTTCACAACTAATTTAAAGCAAATGTACTTTCAAGAAAAAAAGAGGCAAGCCTAGGCTGCCATAGCTGAAGAACACTGGAACAACCTAGGAAGAACACTTAGCAGAATTGCCTGACATTGTTCACGTAACATAAATCTGCCCACAGTAATTGTTTAGCGGGTTTAGTATTATTGTATAATGGTACAATTCATATTTTCTCATTAGCCAAGTTGATCTTATTAAATCAAATGGAATTGGATGGAAATATCCTTGACTGTAAATTGAGTCAGGTTGCCACACTTTGTTGGTTTGAAAGAGCATTTCCAAACAGTGCTCCATAGAAAGCCAAGTGCTGTTAAAAACTTATCGACACAGGGGTTTGAGAGGCTGACCCATTGAGCAGGACAGAGACGAGGCCTTTGAGATGTGAAGGAATGCCTTGCTCTTTTCTCTCGCCTCTCCAATCGAGTGGACAATCAAACGTGAGAATCTTAATGGATGCTGAGTGGACCCCCTTGACAATAAGAGGTTTTCCTCCTCCAAGGCCCTAATATGTATATAAATAAAGTTGATCACTTCCCTTGTCAATGGGGAACCTTGAGGGGAGGGATGACGTGCCGAAAAAAAGAAAAATTGAGTTTAGCGGTCATCCAAGCCAAGCTTTGACCCTGTGCCTTCCACTGATGCTGCGGGACAAGTGCAGCTTCCCGGCTTTGTGGTGGAACGCCGCGGGGCACAGGGGAGAGGTTAACAGCCCCCCCCCCACTGACCTTCTCCTCCATCCCCACACAAAGAACAAGCTCCTCTTTTTTGGATTCTTTTAATTAACACTTGCATTGAAGCTTCTAAGCATTGGGGAGCGATGCAGGGAAAGAATTCTCCCTCTCTGCCCCCCTTTGCCGTCTCTCTCTTTCCCGCTCTCCCTCATTCTCTTTCTGTTTCTTTTTTGTCTGGGCAGTGTTTGGATTAGGTCTCTGGCTGTGAGTGTGAGATAATTACCACTGACAGCTGCACTGACGGTACCCAGAGCCCCAATACCACCTTGTTCAACAACTCTTTGATAAAGGGGGACAACAGAGCCTGAGAAAGAGAAAATAAAGACAGAGGAGAAGAGAAGAAAAGAAAGAAGCCCCACCCTAAACACCTGTTGGTCCCTTTCAGGTTCCTCCTTGCCTGCTGCATATACAGTATGTCACTCCTGATTAGGATCAGGGGTCTTGCACCAAGTGTTTGAGGTTCACACAGGCAACTGTGATCACCGGTTTCTCCACATAGAGTCATAGTGCTGAAGGGAAAGGTATGCCTGTCTGCTGCTGAAATCAACAGCGGGGCGTTTTACTACTATGCTCACAGAGCAGGGGATCCAAGAAGTGACCAAGCTAATGAGGAACATTCTAGAGATGCGGTGTGGGGAACTTCTGCATTAAAGCCCTCAAATTAGCAAATGCATTCGGTCATCAGAGGGAGATGGATATAGGCTGAGCCTACACAGTCTCTCCTCCATACAGCATAGGTCCTCCTCAATGAGTCTGCCTCCAGTGAATGTTACCTGAAGACAGCAATCACACAGGGGGCTCTTTCTCGGCTTATCACTGAGCCCTGTCGCTACGGCAACCAGCAGGCCCCAATAAGCCTGCATGGGGCAGTCAACCAGAGAATCCATTAAAAAACCGGAAGGCGAGGAGCCGGGCTCAGAGCCCTCAGAGAGTGGCTGCATTAATACATTAGCAAACACCATGAAACACTGGATAAATGTCAGCAATTATGGCGGAAGAGAAAAAAGCAGAGTCTAATAAGGATGTCTCACTGTCTGTCAATCACTCCCACAGGTGCAGGATTGCCCTGTCAATCAGAATGGCCAGAACGCTTAAATTGGGTCTTTAATTATAAAACGTCTAGGTTTGAACAATATTGATCTCTAAATTGAATAACTGTGAAATGATTACACTGTAAACGGGAATTCTGACTTTCCCCCTACTAAATATTAAGTGAATGCATTGAATGAAACAAGGCTGAGAATAATGAAAGCAGAGCTAAGTAGTCATCGATTCTGACTCCTTGAAAATTTAATTTTAAACCCGGACTGCCATGTTTATTGGTACAAATCCCTGGAGATGAGGCGGGGTTAATGAGATATGCAATGGAACAGCCAGACTGGCATGCAAGGGCTTTCTTTGTAATGCTCAAAGTCATTTCAATAAGGGTTTGGGCTGGAGAGGGCTATTATTGCAGTCAATGCTTTTAATATCTCCTCCCAGGAAACATGGGAGCAGTAAGCCGCTTTAGCCAGGCTATGGCCAGGCACATGGCTATGACCTACAGCCACTTTCTATTAATCCCCAAGCCACCTTAGAGCTTTGGTCGAGCCAAGACTCATTGATAAGCAGTCCACCTCATATTCTGGAATATTGTGGGTTCAAAGGGCTGTGGGTGAGAAGTGATATTGTACACTTTACTGTGGTTTCAGGTTGGACTTGATCTCTTGGCTAGATTGCCTGTCTAAGGAAAGAGATGGATAGCAAGGAAATATATCCATATCAGTGTTGTATAGAGTTTGTGGTTTGAGAGGCTGCTTTTGGCCACTGCGCTTTACATTAGGGCACACAAAGAGCAAACAATTCACAACAAAAAAGAAGTAGAACCTTTTGTCTCAGCCTTTCAGGAAAATAAACGGTTGCAATGTACGTATTTGCTTTGACAAGAGAGCAACCAAGCGAGTCGTAAAAGCTCCCCTTAAAATCAAAACAACAAAAGATGCAGGGATTGTTAATTCAATTTGCCAAAGTGAATATTTGAATGTAGATGGGAAAAGAGAGGGTTGCCATCTGAACCACAAAACATTTATAGAACAGGTTCTCACCAGGTGACCACACCCTGTACTACTACATCTAAAATAGAAATGTCATTGTAGATTTCAATCATGATCACTGCAAGAAAACCCAGTTCAGGGTAGTAAAGAGAATGCCACAAAATATTGTAATAAGAGCTAATACTTTAAACAACAACAACAGCAAAGATAAAAGTTGAAGGGCCAACAGAATGTGTACAGAACAGCCCAGTTGCATAATCATCCATACAATTAGCATGGGAACATACAAGCGCTCAAAGAAAAGCAGAGGAGGGGGTTCGGAGTTCCTCAGGGCTCCGTGTGAGGACCGCTTCTGATCACTTTGACTAAATTCCGCTGAATGGCTGGGAACCGTGACCCCGGGCGGGAGAGGTCAGTGACACTCAATGATGTGAGCTTTAATGTCCACAGATAGAAGGACACGGGGGGACGGTCTTTGACATCTTAATTAGTTTCTACATCTTACTTTTAGACTGGACAGATGGTTTCAGCATTGAAAACATTGAACAGTTTCTCTCAAATTGCGATTCACTACATACTGTAACACAATAGGCTTTTGTCAAGCCTTCATGGAATAAACTTTAACCTTCTTAAATCAAAATATATTCTGTAATGAAAACATGGGTAACGTATTTTCCTCATTTATGAAAGACTGCTGGTGAACAGCAGCTATAAGGGCCAAAGACAACATGGAAATGGAGTGGTGTTCCCAAGTCCAAGCCTGAGAGATATGTTTGTGTGTTTTTGTTCCTTACCGAATCGTCAGATGCCGCAGCAGGCCAGCCCTCCCATTGTTGGTGTCGCACTGGGATGTTTGTCAGGTCTGAAACATTCCTCTTCACCTGGAAAGAAAGACAATGGCAAATAATTATTAAATCTATCATTTCAGATTAAAACATGAACACATTTATTAATGAAAATCCTGAAGAAAATAACTGCAAATATCAGTAAGTAGGCTATATCAAACTATAAAAACAGTAAACACATCATGAAAGAGACATCATTGTGTCGGCATAGCTTTGATTGTCTCCTGTGAAGGAGGTGTGGAAAGGAACTGAGAGATACCCAGCCACACACTATAGCACCACAGGGAATAACAAAGATGGAGGGAGGACACAGGGCATTGGACAGAGAGAGAAAGAGCCCTGTGTCATTTGCATTCCACGGATGCCTTGCTTAATGCCCAGGAACAACAGAACCACACTCCGAAAAGAACAGTATTTCTCTTGTCCCATTCATGCGCGGTGTATCTGCACTTAATAACATTCCGTGCTTTTAAACAGTTAGCAGTGTCCCACGAGCACCATGCCCCGCCATCCCTGCCCTGTTGTTTTAAAGCCCAATGCCAGCCTGATGTGCGGAAGGCGAGGGTGATCAAAGCAGGTGTCGTCTGAGCGCATCGGGCACTGGATTCTAGCGCATTACCCCTGCAGAATGCACTACCCTGCGGGGGTAGATACTGATGCTGAGCAAACTGGCCATTGTGGTGGAAAGCTCCCTCCACACACAGCCAAATCCTCCCTCCAACACTCAGAGGGAGATGTATCCTTGGCGAGACGGAGGTCTCGTGCCCATAGAGGTGGAAACTAAGATAGTTACAAAAGCAGAGGACATCAAGCAAAGCATGCAGAACTCACACTGATCTATGGGGAGTGTGAACTTTCTCACTTTCAAATGAGCCTGCATACAATTTTCACACCAAATCAGCTAATTTCAAGTTGATCTCAACCAAAAGGCTGGTTTATGAGGTAAAATACAGCACCCCCCCAACATCTACTACCACTTCAGCAATAATTGAGGAGAAAACATCCCTCAGTGGAGTGCTTTTTTATGTTGAATAAAAGTCAAATTCTGCAGACGAGTGTCTGTGTTGAGGTCTGTGTCACTTGGTAAGAAGCAGACCGGCCTGAAAATGCCTTGGTTAAAGTTTAGACATAATGGGTGGCTGACATAGGATCACGATATTCAAACCTCATTCTCTCCTCTCTGAAGCAGGATGCCAGTCCCAAACACACATGCACAGTGCCTTTCTTTATGAAGTGGAGTGGAGTGGGGTCAGGCCAGGTGGCCAGTGTTATTACAGAGTGTAATATCTATGTTTGACCAGAGGGCTACAGGGATTTCTCCTCCGAGCGCTGACCGACAGGCAGGCATAAACACTAGCGCCCAGCTGTAATGAAGAGTCTCCAGTCAGAGGTTAAGGCAGCCTCAGAGAAACAACAAACTAACGCCCATACAGAGGTCCTGATGGCTGCAAGCTGGCCACAGCACCTTAACCAAATCTATCCGAGGAGCTATACTGCTATATGTTTATTAGCTCAGATCTTTTACTAGATGCATTACAATCTCCTGCTTTAATTAAGGTTTTCCATACCACAACGTATCCACATCCTCTAACATGTGCATAGTAGACAGAACAGGAAGGGGAGCCAGAAAACCAACAAAAACCCACGTTCCTATAGTTCTATGATTTGGAGTTGACAGAAATGTGACATGCAAAGAAAGTAATGGTTTCAATAAACTTTCTATGAGTAAGATACACATGACCAAAGGTATGTGGACACCTGCTCATCAAACATTTCATTCCAAAATCATGGGCATTAATATGGAGTTGGTGCCACCTTTGCTGCTATAACAGCCTCCACTATTCTGGGAAGGCTTTCCACTAGATTGGGAGCATTGCTGCGGGGACTTGCTTCCATTCAATCACAAGAGAATTAGTGAAGTCGGGCACTGATGTTGGGCGATTAGGCCTGGCTCGCAGTCGCCATTCCAATTCATCCCAAAGGTGTTCAATGGGGTTGAGGTCAGGGCTCTGTGCAGGCCATTCAATTTCTTCCACACCGATCTCGACAATTGGAACGCTGACTGCGAGCAAGGCCTAATCGCCTAACATTAGTGCCCGACCTCCCTAATGCTTGTGGCTAAATGGAAGCAAGTCCCCGCAGAAATGTTCCAACATCTAGTGGAAAGCCTTCCCAGAAGAGTGGAGGCTAGCAGCAAAGGGGGGAGCAACTCCATATTGATGCCCATGATATTTAAATGAGATGTTATAATTCACTGTATCACAATTCCAGTGGGTCAGAAGTTTACATACACTAAGTTGACTGTGCCTTTAAACAGCTTGGAAAATTCCAGAAAATTATGTAATGGCTTTAGAAGGTTCTGATAGGCTAATTGACATCATTTGAGTCAATTGGAGCTGTACATGTGGATGTATGTCAAGGCCTACCTTCAAACTCAGTGCCTCTTTGCTTGACATCATGGGAAAAATCTGCCAAGACCTCAGAAGAAAATGTGTAGACCACAAGTCCGGTTCATCCTTGGGAGCAATTTCCAAATGACTGAAGGTACCATGTTCATCTGTACAAAGAATAGTACGCAAGTATAAACACCATGGGACCACGCAGCCGTCATACCGCTCAGGAAGGAGACGCGTTCTGTCTCCTAGAGATTAACGTACTTTGGTGCGAAAAGTGCAAATCAATCCCAGAACAGCAGCAAAGGACCTTGTGAAGATGCTGGAGGAAACAGGTACAAAAGTATCTATATACACAGTAAAACGAGTCCTATATCGACATAACCTGAAAGGCCACTCAGCAAGGAAGAAGCCACTGCTCCAAAACCGCCATAAAATAGCCAGACTATTGTTTGCAACTGCACATGGGGTCAAGATCGTACATTTTGGAGAAATGTCCTCTGGGCTGATGAAACATAAATAGAACTGTTTGGCCATAATGACCATTGTTATGTTTGGAGGAAAAAGTGGGATGCTTGCAAGCCGAAGAACACCATCCTAACCGTGAAGCACGGGGGTGGCAGCATCATGCTGTGGGGGTGCTTTGCTTCAGGAGGGTCTGGTGCACTTCACAAAATAGATGGCATCATGACGAAGGAAAATGATGTGGAAATATTGAAGCAACATCTCAAGACATCAGTCAGGAAGTTAAAGCTTGGTCGCAAATGGGTCTTCCAAATGGACAATGACCCAAGCATACTTCCAAAGTTGTGGCAAAATGGCTTAAGGACAACAAAGTCAAGGTATTGGAGTGGCCATCACAAAGCCCTGACCTCAATCCTATAGAAAATGTGTGGGCAGAACTGAAAAAGCGTGTGCGAGCAAGGAAGCCTACAAACCTGACTCAGTTACACCAGCTCTGTCAGGAGGAATGGGCCAAAATTCACCCAACATATTATGGGAAGCTTGTGGAAGGCTACCGAAACGTTTGACCCAAGTTAAACAATTTAAAGGCAATGCTACCAAATACTAATTGAGTGTATGTAAACTTCTGACCCACTGGGAATGTGATGAAATAAATAAAAGCTGAAATAAATAATTCCCTATACTATTATTCTGACATTTCACATTCTTAAAATAAAGTGGTGATCCTAACTGACCTAAAACAGGGAATCTTTACTAGGATTAAATGTCAGGAATTGTGAAAAACTGAGTTTAAATGTATTTGGCTAAGGTGTATGTAAACTTCCGACTTCAACTGAATATATATTTGGTATTTTACCAAATAGGGCTATCTTCTGCATACCAACCCTACCTTGTCACAGCACAACTGATTAGCGCAAACGCATTAAGGAAAGAAATTCCACAAATTAACTTTTAACAAGGCACACCTGTTAATTGAAATGCATTCCAGGTGACTACCTCATGAAGCTGGTTGAGAGAATGCCAAGAGTGTGCAAAGCTGTCATCAAGGCAAAGGGTGGCTACTTTGAAGAATCTAAAATATATTTTGATTTGTTTAACACTTTTTTGGTTACTACATGATTCCATATGTGTTATTTCATAGTTATGATGTCTTCACTATTATTCTACAATGTAGAAAATAGTAAAAAATAAAGAAAAACCCTTGAATGAGTAGGTGTGTCCAAACTTTTGACTGGTACTGCATATTTAGTAGATAAAAAAGCAAGTCCTATAAGATTCATTTATTGAAACCGTAATATCAACTGGTTATATTATATGGTGGAACGCAATCTTCAAAAAGGCAGTAACCTCAGCAGTGGTGCTTGCTTGTAGAAGGCTATGACTGTGCAATGGCATAGCCTTATTTTGTTAATTTAGCAGACAAGACAACCATTTCCTGAGCCCTCATCACAGCCAAGACACTTATTCTATAGTAAAAAAACAACTTAATATAACAGAATAAATAGAACAGAATATTTTTCAAAATTAAAGAAAAAAGTTGCCAGTGCGAAGTGATGTGCATCTCACATCTGGAACAGTTATTCTCAAAGAATGATCATTTGAAACAAACCAAAATCAGTTATTTTCAAATACAGATGTTCGATTTAGAAAATTCTGCCTGTTCTTTGACATTTTCTTTGGCCTATGCTTAATAATTCTGATGAAAATATGTTATTTGTCTTTATCAAACTAATGTTTTGGCGGATTTTCAGTGTGGAACATGTCTATGTTTAGGGGGGTTATAGCCTAGGCTAACCAATTCCAAATGGCACTAGCAGTTAGCAAAGTAGCCGTAGCGGAAAATAGAAGGGACTGAATTACTCAAAAACTGCAGCTCGTTGTTGGAACACATTGTCCTACATCAATCAACCGGTCCATTTAGAATTTGTGATAAGACTGTCATCATTTGGCAAGGAATGTAGCTCGTGTGTCCCATCCGTTACATGTGTTTTGATAGGCATTTATTTCTGTAGGCCTAACTGGAGCTTGTGTGCACACTCAGCACACGTGTGTGTAGGGAGCCATCAGAAGGCAATAGAGTGAATGAGACACTGAGGGGAAAAGGAATTTAGGGAGAAGAACTGTGTGATGCTTGGCTTGGTTTCTTTTTTGTTGTGACCCGCAAATGCACATATACAA